TCAGTTTTAGTATTTTACAATATTTCAATTCTTTGGCTTTTCTATTTTTGACTTCTGGATTTTTCGATGTGTCTACCTTTTTACTTTTTCGATTTTTCAATTTTTGGATTTTTAAATTTTAGATTTTTCAATCTTTTGATATTTTAATTTTTCAATCTTTCGATTTTTCGACTTCCTGGTTTAGATGTTGTTTTTCAATTTTTCGGTTTGTTAATTTTTCATTCCCGATTTATCGAGATTTGATTGTTCAGGTTTTCGATTTATCAGTTTTTCAATTTTTTATTTTGGCCTATTTCGGTTCGCAGTTTTTTCAGTTTTCCGTTTTTTCGTTTTTTGATTTTTTCGCTTTTCCAGTTTTTCAACTTTTAACTTTTTGTTTGTCGATTTCTCTATTTTTCCATTTTTCGACTTCATCACTTGTCGATTTCTCGTTCTTTTGATCTTTCAATCTCTCAATTTTTCAATTTTTTGAATTTTTAAGTTTTTTGATTTCTCGATTTATCGAAATTTGGATTTTTCGATATCTTGATCGTCAATTTCTCAATTTATAAATTGTTCAATTTTTAACTTTTCGATTTTTCGATTTTGGCCTATTTCCATTTCTCAATTGTTCGACTTTTCGACTCCACGATTTCTTGATCTTTTGATTTTTCGATTTCTCGGTTTTTCGATTTTTCTGTTTTTCGATGTTTCGATTTTTCAGTTATCTAATTTTTTTAATTTGGGAGTTTCGATTTCTCGATTTTCCGTTATTCGGTTTTTAAATTTTACATGTTTGAAGTTTACATTTTCTCGATTTTCCGATGTTCTATTTTTCGATTTTCAGTTCTTCCATATTTCGATTTTTAAATATTTCGATTTTTCAATTTTTGACTTTTAGAAACTCTTTATTTGTCGATGAATCAATTTTTTCAATTTTTTCAGGTTTCGATTTTTCAACTTCACTTTTTTTGATTTTTCGATTTCTCAATTTTTCAATTTTTTAATTTCTCAGTTTTTGGACATTTCAGTTTTGGGATTTTTCAGTTTACTTATTATTCAATTTTTCGATATTACGATGTTGCAGGTTTTTGATTTTTCAATTTTTCGGTATTTTTAAGGTTTTGATATTTCGACTTCACTTTTTTGATTTTTCGATTTCTCAATTTTTCGATTCTTTAGATTCTCAGTTTTTGGATATTTCAGTTTTGGGATTTTTCAGTTTTTCGATTCGTCAGTTTTTCTTTCATTTTTCAGTTTTTTGATATTTCAGTACTTCGACTTTTCCATTTTTGACTCCTGGATTTTTCGATGTGTCGACTTTTTACTTTCACGATTTTTAAATTTTAGATTTCTCAATTTTTTTGTATTTTAATTTTTCAATATTTAAAATTTTAGATTTTTCGATTTCTCGATTTTTCATTTCGGCTCTTTCATATTTCAATTTTTCAAATGTTTCGATTTCTTAATGTTTCGATTTTTCGAGTTCCCGGTTTTAGATTTTCTGTTTTTCAATTGTCGTTTTTTTTATTTTTCGATTTTTAAATTTTAGATTTTTCAGTTTTTTGGTATTTTAATTTTTCAATATTTAAAATTTTAGATTTTTCGATTTCTCGATTTTTCATTTCAGTTCTTCGATATTTCAGTTTTTCAAGTTTTCGAATTTTTCAAATGTTCTGATTTCTTAATCTGTCGTTTTTTTGACTTCCCGGTTTTAGATTGTCTGTTTTTCAATTGTCGTTTTTTCAAATTTTCGATTTTACTATTTTTCAAATTTGACATTTATAACCTGTGAATTTTTCGATTTTTCAATTAATCGATATTTCAGTTTTCGGATTTTTCTGGTTTTCCATTTTTCAGTTTTTCTTTCATTTTTCACTTTTTCGATATTTCAGTTTTGGGATTTTTCAATATTTCGATTCTTCGAATTTTTGGATTTTTGACTCCTGGATTTTTCGATGTGCCGTTTTTTTTACTTTTTCGATTTTTCAATTTTTCGATTTTTAAAATTTTAGATTTTTCGATTTCTCGATTTTTTATTTCAGTTCTTCGATATTTCAATTTTTCAAGTTTTCGAATTTTTCAAATGTTTCGGCTTTTTAATCTTTTGATTTTTCGACTTCCCGATTTTAGATTTTCTGTTTTTTAATTGTCATTTTGTCAAATTTTCCATTTTTTAATTTTTCAAATTTGACTTTTATAAACTCTCAATTTTTCGATTTTTCAATTAATCGAGTGTTTCGATTTTCCTGTTCTTCAATTCTTTAATTTTTTAATTTTTCACGTTTTTGATTTTTCAATTTTTCGATTTTTTAAGGTTTGTACTTTTCGACTTCACTTTTTTGATTTTTCGATTTTTCAGTTTTTAGACATTTCAGTTTTAGGATTTTTCAAAATATTTCAATTCTTCGGCTTTTCTATTTTTGACTTCTGGATTTTTCAATGTGTCTACCTTTTTACTTTTTCAATTTTGCAATTTTTGGATTTTTAAATTTTTTAGATTTTTCGATCTTTTGATATTTTAATTCTTCAATATTTCTTTCGATTTTTCGACTTCTTGGTTTTAGATGTTCTGTTTTTCAATTTTTCGATTTGATTGTTCAGGTTTTCGATTTATCAGTTTTTCAATTTTTTATTTTGGCGTATTTCGGTTTCTCAGTTTTTCCAGTTTTCCATTTTTTCGTTTTTTGATTTTTCTGCTTTTCCAATTTTCCAACTTTTAACTTTTTGTTTGTCGATTTCTCTATTTTTCGATTTTCGACTTCATCATTTTTCCATTTCTCGTTCTTTTGATCTTTCAATCTCTCAATTTTTCAATTTTTCGAATTTTTAAATTTTTTGACTTCTCGATTTATCGAGATTTAGATTTTTCAATATTTTGATTGTCAATTTCTCAATTTAAAAATTGTTCAATTTTTAACTTTTTGATTTTTCGATTTTGGCTTTCGGTTTCTCAATTGTTCGAATTTTCGACTCCACGATTTCTTGACCTTTTGATTTTTCGATTTCTCGGCTTTTCGATTTTCCAGTTTTTCGATCTTTCGATTTTTTAGTTATCTGATTTTTTAAATTTGGGAGTTTCGATTTCTCGATTTTTCGTTATTCGGTTTTTAAATTTTACATTTTTGAATTTTACATTTTCTCGATTTTCCGATCTTTCATTTTTCGATTTTCAGTTCTTCCATATTTCGATTTTTAAATATTTCGATTTTTCAATTTTTGACTTTTAGAAACTCTTTATTTGTCGATGAATCAATTTTTTCTATTTTTTCAGGTTTCGATTTTTCTACTTCACCTTTTTTGATTTTTCGATTTCTCAATTTTTCAATTTTTCGATCTTACGATTCAATTCTTTAATTTTTCGATTTTTCAGGTTTTTCATTTTTAATTTTTTAGTTTTTTTAAGGTTTCGATTTTTCGACTTCACTTTTAGGATTTTTCCATTGCTCAATTTTTCGACTTTTTAGGTTCTGAGTTTTTGGATGTCTCAGTTTTCGGATTTTTCAGGTTTTCCATTTTTCAGTTTCTCTTTCATTTTTCAGTTTTTCGATATCTCAGTTTTAGGATTTTTCAATATTTCGATTCTTCGATTTTTCGATTTTTTACTCCTGGATTTTTCGATGTGTTGATTATTTTACTTTTTTGGATTTTTAAATTTTATATTTTTTAATTTTTAAAATTTCAGATTTTTCGATTTCTTAATCTTTTGGTTTTTCGACTTCGCGGTTTTGGATTTTCCGTTTTTCAATTGTCATTTTGTCAAATTTTCGATTTTTTAATTTTTCAAACTTGATTTTCATAAACTCTCAATTTTTCGAGATTTCAATTAATCCAGTCTTTTGATTTTCCTGTTCTTCAATTCTTTAATTTTTTGATTTTTCAGGTTTTTGATTTTTCAATTTTTCGATTTTTTAAGGTTTCTATTTTTCGACTTCACTTTTTTGATTTTTCGATTTTTTGGCCTATTTCGGTTTCTCAGTTTTTCAAGTTTTCCGTTTTTTCGTTTTTTTATTTTTCTGCTTTTCCAATTTTTCAGCTTTTAACTTTTTGTTTGCCGATTTCTCTATTTTTCGATTTTTCGATTTCATCACTTTTCGATTTCTCGTTCTTTTGATCTTTCAATCTCTCAATTTTTCAATTTTTCGAATTTTAAGTTTTTTGATTTCTCGATTTATCGAGATTTGGATTTTTCGATATTTTGATTGTCAATTTCTCAATTTATAAATTGTTCAATTTTTAAATTTTCGATTTTTCGATTTTGGCCTATTTCGGTTTCTCAATTGTTCGACTTTTCGACTCCACGATTTCTTGGTCTTTTGATTTTTCGATTTCTCGATTTTTCGATTTTCCAGTCCTTCGGTGTTTTTTAAATTTTAGTTTTTGAATTTTACTTTTTTCGATTTTCAATTCGATATTTCGATTTTTCAATGTTTCGGTTTTACGATTTTTTAAAGTTTCGATTTTTCGATTATTAGATTTCTCGATTTTTCGAATTTTCGATTATTTTAATTTTTCATTTTTTTTTTTCTCAGTTAATATCATACAGTGTATCGAAAATAACCAGAAAAATTGTGACTAAAAACATTTAAAAATTCATACAAAATAGAACACAGTGTTTCCAAAACATTTTCCCAAAAAAAACCCATTGGCTTATTACTATTTCAACAATATTCTTAGTTTAAGACGTTTCGCTAGTATAAAACACAAATAAAGAATTAATTCTTAGTTAAACAAAATATGTAAAATCATCTAAATATGTTCACTTAGTCGTTATAAAAACCAACCAAACAACTATTTCCCGCAGAAATTATAGTCCAAACCAACCAAATCGCTTCTGAACGCTTAGAGTCGACATTGGCCTGAGCGCGCTCTGGTCTGTAGATCAAACAAGTTCTCAGGCGACGAGTTGTAGTGAAACAAGTTTTTTTATTTTCTCAATATGTAAACCTGTAAACTTTCAATGAAGATATTTTAATAACCAGTTATAACACCATTACCGGCACTTTATTCACTTCCACATTTATCGTTATTTGAATTTTTATCAGTTATCAGCTGTTTTCGATTCGTCATTACCTGAAAAACTAATGTTTTACGTAATTTAGAATAAGTAAGTCACCATTCATATAATATACCATCAACTTGTAGCTCAACCATGCCCCCACCCAACGTCGAAAGCCCAGCAATGGTCCTGCACGAATTTACCGTAAAACGTAGATATCCTCCACCTGAGTATAAACTAGTCGTGAGCAAAACAGGCACCGATGAAAACGAATTCTACTATGAACTTAACGTTGCAAACGTTTCTGCTATGGGTTTTGGTCGCTCCAAGCAAGAAGCTAAACAGAATGTTGCCACTAAGGTGCTCGAACAGCTTGCTAATGAAGGATTATATGACCCAAGTAGTAATCCAGCTCAGGAGTTTAACCCACTCTTTGATAACCCATTGACACCAGTTGTCCATTTTGTTCAAGCTTTGGAAGACCTTCGTGGTGAAAACAAACTTCCTTATCCTCTTTTTAATGAAATATCAGTTGTGGGGCCTTCACATTGTAGAGAGTTTACAGATGAATGCAAAATAGCTTCAATAACCACTCAAGCAACAGCTAGCAAGAAAAGGCAAGCTAAACATTTGGCAGCTAAAGATATGTTGTATAAGATTAAAGATATCAATCCTGAGCTAGCTGATTCAAATGCATTAACTGATAAAGATTGTGAGGCTGTTAATAAATATAATGAATTAGCTAGCACTTTAGATATAATGTCAAACAGAACAGTCAATATTGATGACTTTTCTAACACTTTGAAGACAATCATGGTAAGGAAGAATCTGAGTGTTGAAGATTTCAAAGAACAGTTTGATAAGAAAGATAAAGATGGTCTTCAGTATATCTTTGATTTGCTTGACGTTAAGTACAAAATAGACATATTTCAAGAGAATCCACCCATTGGTTGTGCTCTTTTTGGACTGGACACTCCATTTACAGTAATGGAGTTAGGAAATAGTAAAGAAAACGCCGAAGTTAACGTCATTAACGAAATTTATATGATGCTAGCTGTTTACTTGGACGTGCCTTATTTAGATAATAACATAAGCACAAACCGTTGTCCTATATATTGAATTATTTACTTCTTTTTGTTTTTTAAATTTAGACATTTTAGTTTTTGTATTCTTTATTTTGTCTGTTTTCGTAACTAGAAAAAAGGTTGTTTTATACGAATGAAACATTATTTTCATTATTGCGGTGGATTATTTAAAATAAAATAACAATAACAGCAGATTTTATGGATTATTGTTCATGTAACGGTCAAAATGACAGACGTTCTCATTTATCACCGTTGGCGGCACTTGATCCACTTCCAAATTTGACATTTGTTTGTATTGTCATTAAGTTGTCATTTGCACATGCTGTTTCAATCTTCAAAAAAAGCCGATTCGTTGTCGGAAAAAAACAATTTTTGAAGTAATTAAGAGGAAACAAGTCATTCCCCACTTTATTCTCCCTCAATTTTTAGGTTAGACATGTCGCAACAAAACACAAAAACCCCAGCAATGGTCCTTCAGGAATTTACAGTAAAACATGGTTATTCTCCCCCTGAGTATGTCCTCGTAATGAGTAAAACAGGCACCCACGAGAACGAATTTCACTATAAAGTTAACGTTGCGAACGTCTGTGCGATGGGTTTTGGCCGTTCGAAGCAAGTGGCAAAACACAACGCCGCCAGCAAAGCGCTGGAACAACTAGCAAATAAGGGGTTATACGATCCTAATAGTAATCCAGCTCAGGAATTTAACGCGCAAAGTCATAGAAACGAATCTGATAGCCCTTTGAAACCACCGGTGAATTTTATTGGGACTTTGAAAGATCTGTGTGGAGAATACAAACTCCCGTATCCTGTTTTTAACGAGATTTCGGACGTGGGGCCCCCGCATTGTCGCGAGTTCACGTATGAGTGTAAAGTGTCTTCGATAACCACGCAAGCAACCGCGAATACGAAAAAACAAGCTAAACAGTTGGCAGCCAGGGATATGTTGGATAGGATTAGGGATACGTGTCCTGAGTTAGCTGAACAGTGTGCAGCTGATTCTAACGCGCTAACGGAGAAAGACCATGAGGCTATTAGTAAATATAATGAATTAGCTAGTACTTTAGACGTAATGCCAAACCGGGCAGTGACAGTAGATGATTTTTCCAACACTTTGAAGAAAATCATGGTTGAGAAAAATGTGAGTTTTGAAAATTTCAAAGAACAGTTTGAAAAGAGAAACAGGGAAGGACTGAATTATATTTTTGATATACTTGAGGTTAAGTATAAAATAGATATGTTTCAAGAGAGTCCACCCATAGCTTGTGCCCTTTTTGGTCTGGACACCCCATTTACAGTAATGGCATTAGGAAGTACCAAAGAAAACGCTGAAGTGAATCTGATTAGTGAAATTTATGTAATGTTAGATGTTTACATGAACATGACTGAGTTGGATGATCAGGATTCTTAGGGATTTATATTATTGATACAGATTTAGAAAATAGCACGCAAGTGGCTGAGTATCTTCATTGTGACGTTTTTAAGCCATTGTTTACTCTCTGCTACGTGGGGACTTGTTGAGTTTTGTCGCTATTTGTTTTCCAAATAATCAGTTTGGAAGGAAACAGGTTTACTGAAAATGAATTAATTTTTTTATTAATAAAACCGGAGAATTTTGTGTAAAGCTCTTTCAACAGACATCAGGAATAACAAACAAGGTGCATTTTGCTTAGACTGTTTTGACTGTAATTGTTAATTAAAAATAAAATGCAAAATATGTGTACTGTTTTTTTAACCGTGTCCAGTGTTAATTTTATTGACAAGATAATGAAACTGTTATAACTGAATGCGAATTATGAAAATATACCGTGTATTTTGGAAGTTTTTAAATTCAGGCAACCAACAATACATTTTTGTATATTTGGCTAACAGCTAGAGAAATAGATCCGTGACATGGGTGACAGTTCGTTGTAATTTGAGCAAAAAGACCCTTAATGACTCTTTATCCCCTCCTCCAATGAGCCCTCATAAAAGAAATATTATTAACACCACCTACCAGATTAAAATATTGTATAAAAGAATTACACAATTATACTCATTCGGTAACATTTTTGCAATTTTGTTTTTGTGTTCCAAGTACTTGTATAAACAAATTTATCTACCTATTTTATCATGTTGCTTGAACTACACAATTTTGCTGAGGTATTCTATAAATATTTTTTTAAAGTCGGGTCTGACAAATTAGAATACAATAAGATTAATAATTATTGCAGGTGGCTCTTTGTTTGCGACTATTTTAGTGATAATAGAATAAAAACACCTGTGTTGTAACAAACATCAGTTTTTGTAGACGATAACGGAATCAAAATCTTATTAAGTTTTTAAAGTACGAATTGAATTTAAAGAAAGGAATTTGTTAGTTCAAAATACATTTTTTAACACTTCTAAATTAATAGTGTATATTATTGTTATTATTATTATTTTCACTATAGGAAAGCAAAAACTTACAAATAAAAACATGTCCGTATGATAGATAATCTCCGAAACTACTGAACTAGTTGTTAAATTTTATATGTATATTGCGAATATCGTGTAGATGATCAAAATTTGGCTAATCATCCCTACTAACAATTTGTTGACGTCATCTCCAAAATTTACAGCAGTAAATATTATTTAAATTTTATAAAATAAGATACTCCTGCATATGTGGTTTATGAACCCCGATGGATTTTTTATCCTAGACATCGGAATTTTTGGTGAAAAAAATTAAAATTACAACATCTTGCAATTTAACTTTGAAACTGCTCTAAAATTTTGGAAACGTTTTAGGTTATCGTAAGCATGGTAAATCGTTGATCAAATTTTCTTCGTTTATGCCCCTCTAAAACAATAATGACATGGTTTTACAATTTTGACGATTTAATTCAGATTTACCAAATAGGTATAATTTTTGGTGATTCCAAAAGCACCTTATAATAAATTAAAAAACAAAATATGGGGTGAAACGTACCATTTTACTTACTTTGTCCCTTTTTTTTGTGGTGTTATAAATTTAATTTTATAACACTGCATACTTTTGCATGTGTGCTTCATGAATCCGAGTCGAGTTTTGGCCTAGACATCCAGACTTTTAGGGAAACAAATCAAAACCGTGTAACATTTTACAACTTAACTTTGAAATTGTAAAACCGAATGCTTTAAAAACTTACAAGTTTAAGATTACCGTGAGCATAGTAAATTAAAATTTTTTCGTTTATGGCCTCCTAAAAAATAATGACATTTTATAATTTTGAAGAACAAATGTTTCTTAAATTTTATAGAACTACATACCTACTCCAAGTCAGGGGCGGCTCATAAGTTAAGAAGTTGATGAGGCAAGGGACAAGATGCTCCATTATCTAAATGTCAAAAAAATTATATTGTCGTGCTTGCGTTTTTAGTTGACATGAAAGATTCTTCCAGTTTTTTCTACATTTTTCTAGATTCTCTCAAATTCTTTCAGGTTCACCTCGATTTGTCTAGATTTCCTGAGATTCTTTTTGATCCCTTCTGATTCTTTCTAATTCCCTCAGATTTTCTTGGATTCTCTCAGATTCTTTCAGATGTTTTCAGATTCTTTTCTTTTTTTAAGATTCTTTCACATTCTTTCAAATTTTTGGATTCTACTCAGGTCATTTTAAAACCGTGCAGATATTTCCAGATTCCTGCAGACTTTTACAAATTCTTCCAGATTTTTCTAGATTCTTCGAAATTTTTACAAAAGCTTTCAGATCATTTTCTTTCTGATTGTCTCTTTCAGATTTTTTCGATTTTTTTTTTCTTTCTGATTATTCCGAATGCTTTTCGATGCTTCCGGTTTGTTTCCAATCAAATTTTTTTAGATTTTATCAAAGACCGTCAGGAATTTCCAAAATTTTTCAACTTTTTCAGTTTTATTCAGATCGTTTCAGATCGTTTCAGATGTCTGCAGATTTTTCCAAATTCTTTCAGAGTTTTCTAGATTTATCGAAATTCTTACAAATGCTTTCAGATTCTTTTATCTTCTTTCTGATTGTTTCTTTCAGATTTTTTCGATTTTTTTTTATTCTTTCTGAATATTCCGGACGCTTGTCGATGCTTCCGGTTTGTGTCCAATCAATTTTTTTTAGATTTTATGAAAGGCCGTCAGAAATCCTCAAAATTCTTTCAACTTGTTCAGTTTTATTCAGATCGTTTCAGATCCTTTCAGATGCCTACAGAATTTTCCAAATTCTTCCATATTTTTCTAGATTCTTCGAAATTCTTACAAATGCTTTCAGATTCTTTCATTTTCTTTCTAATTCTCTGTTTCAGATTTTTTCGATTTTTTTTATTCTTTCTGATTATTCGGGATGCTTTTCGATGCTTCCGGTTTGTTTCCAATCAAAGTTTTTTTAGATTTTATCAAAGACCGGCAGGAATCCCCAAAATTCTTTCAAATTTTTCAGTTTTATTCAGATCGTTTCAGATCCTTTCAGATACCTGCAGATTTTTCCAAATTCTTCCAGATTTTTCTAGATTTTTCGAAATTCTTACAAATACTTTCAGATTGTTTCATCTTCTTTCTGATTGTCTCTTTCAAATTTTTTCAATTTTTTTTATTCTGTCTGATTATTCCGGACGCTTTTCGATGCTCCGGTTTGTTTCCAATCAAATTTTTTTAGATTTTATCAAAAACCGTCAGGAATCCTCAAAATTCTTTCAAATTTTTAGTTTTATTCAGATCGTTTCAAATCCTTCCAGATGCCTGCAGATTTTTCCAAATTCTTCCAGATTTTTCTAGATTCTTCGAAATTCTTACAAATACTTTCAGATTCTTTCATTTTCTTTCTGATTGTCTCTTTCAGATTTTTTCGATTTTTTTTATTCTTTCTGATTATTCCGGATGCTTTTCGATGCTTCCGATTTGTTTCCAATCAAATTTTTTTAGATTTTATCAAAGACCGTCAGGAATCCCCAAAATTCTTTCAAATTTTTCAGTTCTATTCAGATCGTTTCAGATCCTTTCAGATGCCTGCAGATTTTTCCAAATTGTTCCAGATTTTTCTAAATTCTTCGAAATTCTTACAAATGCTTTCAGATTCTTTCATTTTCTTTCTGATTGTCTCTTTCAGGTTTTTTCGATGATTTTTTTTATTCTTTCTGATTGTTCCGGATGCTTTTCGATGCTTCCGGTTTGTTTCCAATCAAATTTTTTTAGATTTTATCAAAGACCGTCAGAAATCCTCAAAATTCTTTCAAATTTTTCAGTTCTATTCAGATCGTTTCAGATCCTTTCAGATGCCTGCAGATTTTTCCAAATTCTTCCAGATTTTTTTAGATTCTTCGAAATTCTTACGAAGCTTTCAGATTCTTTCATTTTCTTTCTGATTCTCTCTTTCAGATTTCTTCGTTTTTTTTTTTTTATTCTTTCTGATTATTCCGCATGCTTTTCGATGCTTCCGGTTTGTTTCCAATCAAATTTTTTTAGATTTTATCAAAGACCGTCAGGAATCCTCAAAATACTTTCAAATTTTTCAGTTTTATTCAGATCTTTTCAGATACCTACAGATTTTTCCAAATTCTTCCAGATTTTTCTAGATTCTTCGAAATTCTTACAAATGCTTTCAGATTCTTTCATCTTCTTTCTGATTGTCTCTTTCAGATTTTTTCGATTTTTTTTTTCTTTTGATTATTCCGGACGCTTTTCGATGCTTCCGGTTTGTGTCCAATCAAATTTTTTTAGATTTTATCAAAGACCGTCGGGAATCCCCAAAATTCTTTCAAATTTTTCAGTTATATTCAGATCGTTTCAGATCTTTCCAGATGCCTGCAGATTTTTCCAAATTCTTCCAGATTTTTCTAGATTCTTCTAAATTCTTATAAATGCTTTCAGATTCTTTCATTTTTTTTTCTGATTCTCTCTTTCAGATTTTTTCGATTTTTTTTTTCTTTCTGAATATTCCGGACACTTTTCGATGTTTTGTTTCCGTTCAAATTTTTTTAGATTTTATCAAAGACAGGCAGGAGTCCTCAAAATTCTTTCAAAGTTTTCAATTCTATTCAGATCGTTTCAGATCCTTTCAGATGCCTGCAGATTTTTCCAAATTCTTCCAGATTTTTCTAAATTCTTCGAAATTCTTACAAATGCTTTCAGATTCTTTCATTTTCTTTCTGATTGTCTCTTTCAGATTTTTTCGATTTTTTTGTTCTTTCAGTTTTTTTTAGTTCTATTTGATTTTTCTAAATTCTTCAAAATTCTCTCAGATTCTCACAAGTTTCCTCAGATTCTTTCAGATTCCTTCAAATTCCCTCAGTTTCTTTACGAATCACTCAAATTCTGTTAGATTCCCTCAGACTCCCTAGGATTTTCTGGATTTTAATAACAATAATAATAATATTTGCTTTCAAATTTTTCCACATTGCTTCAGAGTCCTGCAAAATCGTTCAGATTCTGCTAGATTTTTCGAGATTCCTTAGATTCTTCCAGGGAATATGAGGAAATCTCGAAGAATCTAGCAAAATCTAACGAATGTAGAAAAGGATCTGAACAAAACTAAATAATTTTAAAGAATGTTGAGAATTTCTGATACTGCCTTTGAAAGATTCTGAAAAGTTCGAAAGAATTTGAAAAGATCTTAAATTCTCTCGGACGTTTTCGATATTCTCAGAATTTTTCACCTTTCATATCGTTTCAGATTCCTTCAAATTTTCCCAGATAATTTCAGATCCTTGCAGACTCTTTCAGATTTCTAGATTCTTCTGAATTCTTCGAAACAGCTAATATCCATCTACCAAGATAAGAACAGCAATAATTTTACATCATATTTTACATAAAAAATGTTAACAAAAATCTGTTTATCGAAAAATACATGATCTTTAGCTGCGGAGTTATAGAGTTTAATCGAGGAAAAATTTCCAAGATGTAGTAGAGGAACTGAGAATGCTACAACGAGATAATTGGTTATAGCTAGTTTATGCTTTTTAAACACTTATAATTGCAACATATTTTTTGTACAGCTGTTGTTTATTACGTTAAGCAGATGTTTATTGAATATAATGCAATTCATTGAATGACTATTACTGATTCCAACTTTACCAATTGATTCACATGAGTAATCGCTATCTTTACACACTCGGAGAATAATATACAATTGTTTCACGTTATTTGAGCGACACATTGGAATAAATATAGGAACATCGGATGCTTATAGATTTTATGTAACAAACAATCTTAATTACTTATTTGATTCATCACACATTTTAGATAAATCACTCAAGAACTCTGATCTTAGTTACACACTGGATTCTAGAAACCGTGTATCGCAAACACTTAGGGTGTAGTTAATGGGTTTTGTAGTAGCGTGGATTTATAGACTTTGCTTTTTTATTTAGAGACGATATAATCTGGTACAACTGTTTCCTAGTTATTAAATCTTACAATACTTGAATCGTTATCGTAGTATAAAATCTCAGCCTATTTTTTTAATTCCCCTGACACTAAACGACTGTCTAGTCGTTCAATAACGTAAACACAGTAATCACAAAAAATAAATCCTCCTTACTGTAAATTCACTAGTCATTATCCATAAAAAACGTGAAAATTGGTGGCAGATCAAACAGGTGTTGCAATTCTGACCACCTGTCGAAACAACAGGTGCACATGAGACAATAATGGTGATAAGTTATCATTTTTAAAGTAATTCAACGATTGTTTAAATCTGACACATTTCGTAGCCGGTAGTGAGTGAGGTAAAGAATGATAACAACTGACCAACGATAAGTAAGCACCCCTCAACTAAAATTTTTTATATTTACTTATTTTTAATTTCAGTGGGTCTTTTCATGAAAGTTATCATTTTGACGGTGTTGGCACTCTTGCCTTCTGTCTACGGTTTGTGTAAAATGCGAGGCATTTGCTACGTCGACGAAAAAGGCAAGAGCAAAAATTGTTTGAACGACGACAAACATAACAAACCTCAACCGTTAGACAAAAACCATCCACAATATGAAGAAGCTCTGAGTCAAATGCACGAATATTGCCCACATTTCTACGAAACCACTGGTATCGTGTTTTGAAATTTCCGTTTTCTGTGTACCAAAAAATGAATTGCAGATGATCCTCTTTTATGCTGCGATGTTGATCAAGCACTTGTGATGGTCCAAGGTTTCCAGAGCACCGTTCCTTTTCAAAGATGCCCAACATGCGTGAAGAACATAATGAAAACTTACTGTATATTTTCCTGCGATCAAAATCAATACAACTTCACGGAGGGTCTAAACCAGGAGGTTAACGAAGAAACCGGGGAAAGTATAAACCGAAAAATTCGAAGTGCTCCCAATTTAACTGTTTTTGCAGCTTATTTAACAAGAGTTCAAGAAACCATCGACGAAACTTTCATAGGCATCGTCTACGATTCTTGCAAAAGTGTTTCGTACCCTAGCACTAGCGGTTTAGTCATTGGATCTGTGTGTGGTGCATACGGAGCCACTTACTGCACTCCTCAAAGATTTTTCAACTACATGGGCAACTACGACAACACTTTTTCCCCTTTTGACATCGTTTTTAAGATTGTAAATGCTTCAGAAGTGTATGCGATCAACAGCAGAGCTTATGCGTGTAACGAGGCTTATGTAAGTTTATTCCATTTGTAACAATTTTGTAAAGTCTGATTTACAGAGTGGTTCTAAAGCTTGCAGTTGCGTGGACTGTGAATTAAGCTGTGCAGCAGACTCAAAGTTCGAAGAGTTATCAGACGATGATTCAGTTTTCGGTGACGTAAGCACAACCTCTTTTATAGTGGCATGTGTGATATGTGGTCTAGGATGTGTGACAGTAATTTTTATTGTGTACCTTCGTCTCACCGTCAAAAATTTTTTCTCGCTATACAAAGGCCAAATAAAAGATGAAGTTCAAGATAAAACCATTCAGATAAAAGTGAACGATTGGTTAGAAGATTTCTTCAGAAAATGGGGAACCTGTAAGTTTATTAGTTATCACCACCGGAAACTCCATCTAACTTTGTCTTTGCAGTCATGGCGCAAAAAAAGTTCATCGTTCTTATTGTATCAGTGGTCATTCTAATAGCTCTACCCATCGGTATTATATACCTAGAAGTAGTCACAGACCCCGTGGAAATATGGGCGGCCCCACACAGCAGAAGTCGCCAAGAGAAAGATTTCTTCGACTCGAATTTCCAACCGTTTTACCGAACCAACCAAATTTTTTTTAAAACCGTCAACATACCACCGGTATGTATGATCAAAATCATTTGTTCTTGAAGCAAATTGGCTTTTTAGTTTACGTACAACCAGACGATCATTGGAGATGATGGGAATCCAGACGTAATAATACATAATTTTGGTCCTGCTTTTGATCAAACGTTTCTGAAAACTGTGTTTAATTTACAACAAGAAATACAAAACGTGAGAAGTTTCTTCCTCTATGGAGTTAACATGACCGTTTTGACTTTCAGATTAAATTAGATGATGGGTCTGGTTTTGAAAATATTTGTTACGCACCTTTGGTCACCGTGTTCTCAGGACCTAAAACTATAGATGTTTGTGCGGTTCAGTCTTTGCTAGGGTTTTACGACAACGATATTTCTGCCATAGACGCTGATAATTACCCTCAGCAACTCGTAGATTGTCTAGCGTAAGTTTGAATATCGTTATAATAACCTAAACAAACCAAAATTGTAGGAGTCCTTTTACCATTAACTGTTTAGCACCTTATGGTGGTCCCATTGAACCCGGGTTGGTTTTAGGTGGAAACATGCTAGACAATTACACAGATGCCACAGCCATCAGTTTAACGTTTTTGGTTGACAATTACTTGGACAAAGACGACCTAAAGTCTGCTCTTGAGTGGGAAGAGAAGTAAGACTGTTTTATGCCTTTAATCATTGTTACAATATCGTTGTTGCCAGATTCATCAACTTGATAAAATCTTGGGAAACATATAATAAAACCGACAACATGGAAATAGCTTATAGCGCCGAAAGGTCAATCGAAGACGAAATCGCTAGAACGTCGTCGTCAGAAATGGGCACCGTGGCCATCAGTTACGTCGTCATGTTCATCTACATTGCTCTAGCTCTTGGTCGCTACACCTTCAATGACAGATTCTTGGTAGAAACTAAATTATTCCTTGGAGTAGGGGGCGTTCTCATCGTACTCGGCTCAGTTTTGTGCTCAATCGGGTTGTGTGGATACGCAGGAGTCCCCACAACCCTGCTAACCATAGAGGTCATCCCCTTCTTGGTTCTAGCAGTTGGTGTTGACAACATCTTCATAATCGTGCAGACACACCAAAGACAAAAACCGTAAGTCAAAAATTTTTGTAAGATCAGTCTTCAGTAGTCGTTGCAGAAGCAGCCTCAGCTTGGAAGAACGTATCGGAGAAACCTTGTCAAAAGTTGGACCCAGCATGCTCCTAACCAGCAGCTCCGAAATCTTCTGTTTTGCTATTGGTACCTTGTCGACAATGCCAGCAGTTAACACTTTCGCAATCTACGCCACTATAGCAATTTTCTTAGATTTTCTTCTTCAAATCACCGCGTTTGTAGCCCTTTTTACGCTAGATCTAAAGCGGTATGAAGACAACAGATTCGAGATTTATTTCTGTGAAAGGGCTACAACCCCACCCAAAGAAATGGGTCCGGGTTTTATTTACAACTTTTGGAAGAACTACTTCGCGCCAGCCGTTATGAAGTACGAATAAGTGACGAATTTCTTCATTTATAACATTGATTGATGATTTTGTAGTTTCTGGGCTCGATGTTCAATTCTGGCGGTGTTTTTGGTATGGCTTTGCGTCAGTATATCTGTGGTACCCTCTCTAGAGCTTGGGTTAGACCAGCAGTTGTCAATGCCTGAAGATAGCCACGTTCTGACTTATTTCAACTTCATGAACGAGCTCATGGGAATAGGGCCACCGGTGTACTGGGTCACCAAAGGGGAAATTGACTACTCGTCTCAAGACTACCAAGCCAAAGCTTGCGGAGGGGTGTACTGTGACGAAGATTCCGTCACCACTCAACTCTTCCGAGCCTTCAAACAATCCAGCTTGTATGTCCAACGAAAGTAGTTTCACTTTCCACTGAGTACGATTTTATAGGACGAGCATAGCAACGCAAGCCACTTCCTGGGTTGACGATTTTTCAGACTGGGCGAATGCCACAGACTGTTGTAAGTACTTCAGGGAAAATGGTACTTTTTGTCCACACGACTACAGCGACACTCTGTGTGCCCCTTGCGACTACAACCGCATGAACTTAACTCAAGAAGACTATTTTACGAAGTTCGTGTCCTTTTTCTTGATGGATAATCCTAATGAGAAGTGTGCTAAAGGTGGCCACGCTTCCTACGCAGGGGTAAGTCTGGCTTAACTTTTGACTTAAGTATAGTGGAACTTTCCAGGGAATAAATTTTGAAGTGAACAATGTGGGAAACGCTACCGTTTTATCATCCAGTGTGATGTCTTATCACACGATCTTGAAGGGATCGACCGATTACATTAGCGCTCTGAAGTATGCTCGAGTTATCGGTGATAATCTCACGAAAACGCTAGATTTAGACGGTGTTGAAATCTTCCCATACAGGTGTGCTTTTGTTAACGAGTGATAAACAATAATTTATTTTGGATGATTGTTATAGCATATTTTATACATACTTCGAGCAGTATTTATCGATATGGACTGACGCTTTGGAATCTTTGGGTTTATCGCTACTTGTTGTTTTTATAATGGCGTTCCTAATTTCCGGACTTAGCCTGTTTTCGGCTTGTACCATTCTGGTGGTGGTACTTATGATCATTATTGACTTGATGGGGCTTATGTACTTCTGGAACGTTAATTTTAACGCTATATCTTTAGTCAACTTGGTTATGGTAGATAAGTGTAGTAGTTATATGATGTTTTAGTCAAACTTTTGTTTTTAGAGCGTCGGAATAGCTGTAGAATTTTGTGGCCACATTGTCCACCACTTTGTCCACTCTAGAAAAAAGAATGCTGTAGAGAGAGCATCCGATGCTCTCGTTGAAATGGGAAGCTCTGTAAGTGTTACCCTCTGTATATTTTTTTGTACTTATTGAAAATTTTAGGTGCTATCTGGTATTACTCTCACCAAATTTGCAGGGATTGTAGTACTAGCGTTTGCTCAATCTCAAATATTTCAAATTTTTTACTTTAGGATGTACCTAGGAATAGTGGTCATAGGAGCACTGCATGGCCTCATATTTTTACCAGTGCTTCTCAGTTTCCTCGGTAAGTTTCTTAGTTTTAGAAATTTTTCAAATCACTGCTTTTCCAAACACCCTCTACAACGTGAAAGCCTCGTTTTCTAATACCGGGTGACCAATAATCATATATATAATGCCAGTAGAAGTATTGAGTGGGATTTATAAAGTTGCTGTTCCCTCTGACGTTGCTTTTAGAGCTGCAAAAATAGGCTGAAAATTATCATTTATAAACTCCGTTGCCAAGTTGCCGTTGATAGTAACTTTGATGTTTAGTATTTTAGACATGTTGTCAAAATAAGTCTACACATATTAAGAGAAAAAGGCAAAATGTAGCCCCACCCACCCGCCCTATCTCAGTTGGGATGATTTTTTTTTTTATTCGTCGGGAACCAAGAGGGCGGAGCTTAACTGCAAAATGCTTATTTCTCTACGAGAAATTAAAAGCATGTTTTTGAGTATATTAGGCCCCAGCCATACCCGCCCCGATCTCAATTCTCAATTGTGATTTTTTCATTCGTTGTCAAATCGAGGGGCGGGGCTTAATTGCAAGATCCATATTTGTCTACAAGAATTTACCATTCTAAGACTCTTGTTCTGAAAAGACGACTACGTATGTTAAGAAAAAAGAAAGGCAAAATATAAGCCCCGCCCACCCGCCCTATCTCAACTGTGATTATTTCTTTTTTAATCGTCGAGAGCCAAAGATTTATGTATTGCCTTTTTTTCTTAATATACGCAGTAGTACTCTTTGAACAACACGATACTCAAAAACATTTTTTTAATTTCTTGTAAAGAAATAAGTATTTTGCAGTCAAACTCCGCCCTCTTGGTTCACCGCGAATAAAAAACATCATCACAACTGAGATAGGGCGGGTGGGCGGGCTTATATTTAACTTTTTGTTTTAATATGTGTATCAACTTCTTTTTACAACATGAAACTTAAGACATGTTTAAATTGAAAATTTGTATAAGGAAATATCGATTTTGTAATTAAGCTCCGCACCACAATTGCAAAATCCATATTTCCTTACAAAAAAACTACTATTTTAACCATGTTTTAAGTTTATTGTGTAAAAAATGGCTATGTATATTAAGAAAAAAAAACAAAATATAAGCCCCGCCCACCCACCCAATCTCAATTCTGATGATCTTTTTTATTTATCGTAAGCCGAGGGGCGGAGCTTAATTTTTCTACGAGAAATTACTATGTGAAATATGTTCGTAACTACTCGTGTTATACAAAGAAAACTAAAAGAGAAGCTCCACCCATCCGTCTCGATCTCAATCGTGATGAATTTTTCATTCGTTCTCAGACCGAGGGGCGGAGCGTAATTGCAAAATCGATATTTCCCTATACAAATTTACCATTTTAAAGATGTCTTAAATTTCTAAGAATTAAAGAAGTCATCACAATTCAGATAGGGTGGGTGGGCGGGGTTTATGTTTTGCCTTTTTTTCTTAAAATACGAACATGCTTTTAGTTTCTTGTAAAAAAACTAGTATTTTGCAGTTAATTTTGCCCCTTGGTTGACGGCGAAAAAAAAAAATCATCACTATTGATATGGGGTGGGCGGGTGGGGTTTATATTTTGCCCTTTTTTCTTTATATGCATAGTATTCTCTGAACAACACGATGCTCAAAAACATGTTTTTAATTTCTTGTACGGAGAAGTATTTTGCAGTTAAGCTCCGCCACAATTGAGATAGGGTGGGTGGGCGGGATTATATTTTGCCCTTTTTGTTTTAATATGCGTAGACTTTTTTTCACAACATGACACTTAAAACATGTTTGAAATGGAAAATTTGTATAAGAAAATATCGATTTTGCAATTAAGCTCCGCCCCACAATTGCAAAATCCACATTTCCTTGCAAGAATGTGCCCTCATGCTTTAAGTTTCTTGTGTGAAAAGACGGCTATGTATATTAAGAAAAAAAAGTAAAATATAAGCCCCGCCCACCCACCCTGTCTCAATTCTGATGATCTTTTTTATTCATCGTAAGCCGAGGGGCGGAGCTTAATTGTAAAATCCTTATTTTTCTAGAGAAATTACCATGTGAAATGTGTTCTTAAGTACTCGTGATATACAGAGAAAACTAAATGTACTAATTAAGAAAAAAACAAAAACAAAAGAGAAGCTCCACCCATCCGTCTCGATCTCAATCGTGATGAATTTTTCATTCGTTATCAGACCGAGGGGCGGAGCGTAATTGCAAAATCGATATTTCTCTATACAAATTTACCATTGTAAACATGTTTTAAGTTACTTTTTGTGAAAAGATGACTACACATATTAAGAAAAAAAGCAAAACGTAAGCCCGCCCACCCGCCCTATTTCATTTTTTTATTCGCCGTGAGCCAAGGGGGCAATGAGAAGATGGCAGCTGCTGAGTTTCCGCCGAAAATTTCAATTCTATATCACGATTGAGATAGGGCGGGTGGGTGGGGCTTATATTTTACTTTTTTGTTAACATACGTATATGAAACATGTTTTTGAGTATTGTGTTATTAAAGAAACTATATCTATTAAGAAAAAAAAAACACAAAGATTACCCCCCCCCCCCATCGCAGTTGTGATGAATTCGAAATACGTATACTAAAAAAAAGAAATAAAAATATTATATAAGCCCCACCCACCCGCCATGTCTCAATTGTGATGATTTTTTTATTCGTTGTGCGGCTGGCCGTGGAGTTTAACTGCAAAAATCCTTGTTTTTCTACAAAAAATAACCAAATAGAAGATATTCTTATGTGTTAAATAAAAAAGGAAGTCAAAGATTAAATCCCACGTATACCCGCCCGGATCTCAATTCTGGCGAATTTTTCATTTGTTGTCAAACCAAGGGGCGGAGCATAATTGCAAAAACCATATTTCCCATAAAAAATACCATTTGAATAACCGCTTGTAGAGAAATGAGAATTTTGCAGTTAAGCTCCGCCCTCTCGGTTTACGACCAATAAAAAATTCATCAGAATTGAGATAGGGTGGGTGGGTGGGGCTTATATTTTACTTTTTGTTAATATACGTATATGAAACATGTTTTTGAGTATTATGTTGTTAAAAAACTAAATATATTAAGAAAAAAAAACACAAAGATTAAGCCTCCCCATCTCAATTGTGATGAATTCGTTCGTTTTCACACTGAGGGACGGAGTGTAATTCCAAATCCATATTTCCTTACAAAATACGTGTACTAAAAAAAAAGAAACAAAAATAAAATATAGGCCCCACCCACCCACCCTGTGTCAATTGTGATGATTTTTTTTTATTCGTTGTGGGCCGGGCCGTGGAGTTTAACTGCAAAAATCCTTGTTTTTCTACAAGAAATTACCAAATAGAAGATATTCTTATGTGTTAAATAAAAAAGGAAGCAAAGATTAAACCCCACGTATACCCGCCCCGATCTCAATTCTGTCCCTACACATGAAGTATATCATCACAAAATTTTAAATAGGTTGCCAACTTGACAAATAATTGACAGACATTAATGGTCATGCGATATTTACTAAGAATCACATAAAATTCGACTTCAGCTATTATAAATGCAGATAATTACAGTTCTAAAAAAACCTGCAAGTTCAAAAAATATAACTACTCACTTGTGACGCACAACTAGCGTGACGTAAATAAGAGGAAATTTAATAAAAAAAATCTTATTTATATATTTTTATACAAGTAGTTATTGCAACTTAATATACGATCGACTAAATTCAGGATTCTTATTAACTGTCTACTGTCTTATCAGCAGCGCTTTCATCCGAGTTTTAGGGTTTAGTCGACCTTGAAAATGTGGGGTGCGAAATTTAAGTATGTGTTTAATACATGCAATCCATTTTCAGGTACCATACGTTTAGGATTCACGAACGTAAATGAAGAACACACCATGACACCATCACGCAAGTCAAAAGTATAAACTTAAACAAATTCGGAATTATTTATTTAGTGTTGTAGTTGAATAATAAGCTGTAATTTATTTTAAAACATGTATTTTACATCCGAATAAATGATATTTAAAATAATTTCTTGGACTTTATTTCAAGTGCGTATGTTACAAAACACAGAAACATAAAAATATATTGAAAAAAAAAGTACAGTGACAATGCTCTACTTTTTACGTATAATTTAATTATTTTTCTCTTTTCACGCTTTGATAAGTATTATTTTCGCTTGTCACTGACAATTGGCGTTTCTCACTAATCTCTGGTAGCGGTCTCAAGTGGCCTCACCGTCAAGTGAATCCGGCTGACGGTATCTTATCGAAATTCTTAACACAAGTGCAGCAGCAATAGATATTTCGTTAAGAATTTATTAACATTTATAATAAATTAAATTACAGATTTTGTTACAACACACTTATTCTTATTACATTACATCTTTTCGAATCGCCATATCGCTGACATTTAGTGTTTTTCGCGCGGTGTGTGGCACCCCTGGTTTAGAATGTTGACATGAGCCACCTCATCGCTTTGGCATAAGTCCACCTGTTTCATGAATTTTCTTAATACTTTTCATTTAATTCCAGTGCAGTTTAAGAAAACGGTTAAAAAAAGGACCCTATAATGAACCTGTGGTGTAAATTGTGCGTACTTTCCCTTTTCCTCGTCAGTGCAGAATGTATTATGTGGACACTAAAACCCAACACACAAAAATGTTTAAAAGAGGAACTGCAAGGAAACGTGCCGGTTATCGGCGAATTTGAGGTTTCCGAAGCAATGGGCCAAAAAGTGGACTGTGTCGTAAGTTGTGCTGAAAAGTACAAACGCTGACATGTTTGCAAAAATGCTATTTTTAGGTTAGGGACTCCAAGGGTCACATTTTGTACCAGAGAGACGACATAAATAAGGGGAAATTCACGTTCAACACGGAGAGCTATGACACGTACGAGATTTGCTTCATTTCGCGCGTTTCGCAAAGTAATGGGGTTTTTGGGGGTTTATTGAGTGTTTATTGAGTGTGTTGTAGATGTAAGAGGGATTGGTCAAGATGTGTCTTTGAGAACAAAACATGGAGTTGAGACTAAAAATTATGAAGTGGTATGTAGTTGACTGAACAAAAATTAGCTAAATATAGTTTGATTTTATTCATTTTTAGCTGGGAGAAGCCGCTCAACTCAAACCAATTGAAAAAGAATTAAAAAGATTAGAGGATTTATCTAATGAAATAGTACAAGATTTTGCCCTGATGAGAAAGAGAGAAGAAGAGATGAGAGATACAAATGGTAGACTGAACTTAACTGTTGTTAACTATTTCTAATTTTTTTAATTACAGAGTCTACTAATAGTAGAGTACTATACTTTTCAGTGTTTTCCATGTGCTGTTTACTGGGGTTAGCAACTTGGCAAGTGCTTTACTTAAGAAGATACTTCAAGGCGAAAAAACTGATTGAATAATTTTTTATTTTTAGCTGAATAAAAGTTATTTTTTGTTTAAAACATTGCCCAAGTTTACTTTATGTAAGCCCTTAAGTCTCGTTATTTTCCTATTTATTTATAAATTTTTGTACAATAATTAGGCCCTCTAATAATTTGTAAGGTGAATTTATAATAAATGTTTCGTGTTTCTATTCGAACAAGTTAGTTTTGTTACCAACCGTTGATGCTTTGCGTTGTGACGTGTTAGTTGGAGATTTTTAGTTTTGTGGTTGGCACTAATTTAATCTAGTGATGTTTACAATCGTTCGAACAAGAAAATATACACCGAGTATAAAATGTTACGTGAATTTATAATCCTGTGGGTTACAAAATCACATTTTACTTACCATTAGTAATGTAACATTTATTTTTGAGGTTAGAGTGTGTGTGTTCCTTCTGTCTCTCATAGTGTCATAGAACAATGACGACCGAAGTTATAAAAAATTATTTATTATCAGAAGCAAAGCAAGAAGAATGGAGAAAGAACATTGGCGACGAAGAATACAAAAATAACACAAATTTGGTGGACCAATTACATAAAAGAAACTTGGAAATTGTTGCCAGAAAAAACAAGCACTTTAGACACTCAAAGTATGTCCCAACGTCATTAATATGTAGACAAATTAGTCCCAAAGCTAAAGCAGCTTATCAGAAGTGGAAGGAACAAAATAATAAAAAAACGGAAGTGCCGGAGCTCCCAGTTCAGAATCTGCTTCTGCTCGTTCATTATTTAAATACAAACCCGGACAGAAACGAAAAGAAGGAACTGCAAGAGTGTTTAAGGCGTCAAAATTCAGAGTTTGAAACGTTTTGGGACTCGCCGTCGTATATTTTGAAAATTTTGCGAAAATGTGTTTTGACACGTGATTGGCCAAACATGACATTCTTCCTATTAATTTTACTAAATTATGACAAGAAATACGTACAAATCATTAAAAAAGTAAGTAGAATTTTTGAAATGACCCTACATTAATTGGAAATTTTACAGATGTGCCAAATAATGCTAAAATTCAACCCTTTGATAGCAGAGTGTGGTCTTGAAGATCAGTTCAGGGCGTTTATTCAGTCATCAGAACAACAACTGGCAATAGTTTAATAAACAACAAATTCAAAAAGACAATCTTTATTACAAAAAGTATCCACTATTCTAACATTAATATTGCTTCTTTTCCATCAATTTTCCTTTCACTCCCGTATTTCAAACAAAATTCTCTCTTCATATAGGCAAACAATATATCAGTAACTAGGAATATTTCTGCTATAGCAAAGGCTAAAGTCACGCCAAAGTAAAAATTGGCGTTTGCGGAGTTCGAATAGATCCATAAATGCCACAAAATCGGACCTAAAGCCGACGTAATTAAAAATATAACACCAACTAAAAATCCCTGCTGCGCGTACATAAATAAATGCATAAAGCAGGGGAAAAGACTCATCACGAACCCTATGTCGCCCAAACAAGGATAAGACTTAAAAATTGCAACTAAAAACAAAACCGCGGTAGTTAACAAAAACGGATCGTTACGAAATTTCACCGAAAGTGGAATTAAATACAAAACCGTGGCGTTAATTTGAAAAGAGCAGATAAACAATTCTCGAAAATGGTCAAACATTTCTGTGAAAAAGTACCAAAATAGACCTATATTGGGCTGGAGGTCAGGCACTGTAAGAATAAAACCGTACACATTTTTCAAAAACGCACTTCCACTGCCTAGTACGTAGGAAAAGCACGTGAGTGCGACTAGTGTTAACGTAAAGACACCAAGTGCTATGTACGCCCGTACTTTATCTTTATAAATGACATACAAGTACAAAAACAACGGACTTATAAGTACTCCTGCATACAAAGACATCACAGCTGAAAACGCAAGAGCAATTGGGGCTAAAATTGGGTTCCCTTGTAACATAAACAATAAAAATATCGCCAGAAAGAAATTGTGAAACACTGTTGTTGAAAGTCCAACACAGTTAAAAATGGTGTAGGGGTTGAATAAAAACGCAGCCATTACGAACACAGGTGAGTTGAGGAAGTCAGCTCCTGATAGTATAAACTCCTTACTGTCTTGTGCATACTCTCCTTTTTGCCGTTCTTGAAACACAAATAGATGAAACATGTATTTTTTCGCCACAAAGTATAACACAACTGCTGTTAGTGAGTCCACTAGTAGAAACAAGAATTCTGCTGGTAGGTAAAATGTTTGTGTCAGTATTCGATACAGCAGCAATATGACGGGGGCTTCGTGGATTAAATCTCCTTCGTATGGATTTATACCTTTTGACTGGACGTACAATCCTTCGGACACTCGCTTCCAAGAGTTGAGTGGTGTGGATATTTCGACATGGTGGCCAATGATGGACTGGTACTTTGAATAAATTAACCAGCAGCGAATGAAGATTCCCAACATATACATCGAAATAATGGTCCGGGTTTCGTACGGTTCATCTTTGGCTTGAAGTAATCGGGCTTTTCGTGACATTTTTGGTTTATAATTTTTGAGCGACTGGCATCAGAGAATGGTGTGTGTAATTCGAGTGGGGCTTTTTATGTTTTTTTTTATAGCATTGTGAAAAAATTCAATACTTGTAGACGCCCTCACAATGACATTTTAGGTTAGGAAGTGGTGACGGTCACATTTTAACGGGTAAGTGAGGTGGCTATGGAGCCGTCAGCGGTTTTCTTTCATAATCCTTAGGATTATAATTCAGAATAATAATATTAATATGTAATGAAATATAACCGCAAGTTGGTTATTCTCTAGTTCGGGTGTTTCTTGATTAATATTAATGTCTGTTAGTTTTTAAAGTCCAAATCACACATACACAACTTAAATTCCGTGTTACACCACTTAAAATTTTTGAAATGTCAGTTGTCTTTCGATTTTCGTTGTTCTCAAGTTCTTTGTTGGATGTGAATAATTTGAAATTAATATTTGTTACATTTATTTTTACACAAGAATCACAACATACAAATATAATATTTTAATTATATTGTTCCGCATACCAGATGGGAATATATCTTTATAACAATAGGACTTTGCTTAAATTACTCTATAACACATTTTAGCCGGCTTTTTTGTCACGTTTCCCCGAAAGTGTAGCGTTAGCGTTGCGCCAAGCATTTTACAAAAACCGGAATCTGAAAATATATCACTTAATAATTATTGACAATTACAACATATTTTGGCAACCGTGTGAAGTCATTTTTTTGTCGATTTTTGGCAGTGGTGCGATTTATTCCTTACTTTCTAACAACACTGTGGCCACATAACATAAAAGTTGCCATGAAATTTTAGCTCTACCGTTATTCCACATCGAGTAATCTTTCCATCAAGTAAATTAAGCAAAGTTTGCTAAAAGTAGAGGTACATGTACAAGACAGGAACAATCCAAAAAACCAAAAAAATATAAAAAATGTAGTAGGAGAGAAAAGTCTGGATCTGCTACCAGCACAGTCCATCGAAAAGTGGATGATTTTTCCCAAAAACAATGACAAATAAGCACGACTCGGAAAAATCGTAATTACATTTAAACAATTCCTGTGATAATTGAAAAGAGTTAATCTATTTCGGTCAGCACGCATCACTTTCCTTCAGTTCGAAAATTTTCCCATTGTTTTCTTCCACACCGTACGCTTCATTCTCTTGGTTGATGTCCACGTTGGGCCCTGTGAGCTGAAGAATTATTACTTCCTCCTGTCCTTCCAGGGCCAAGACGATGTGGTAACCGTTAGATGTTAATTCGCACGCAGCAATATTTGTTCTTGGTGTATACACAGACACTAAATTACCTGCAAGGAAAAAACAACCCGTTGTATCAACCCAAACTTCCGTGTGTTCTGTGAGTTGTTAGTCAAAATAACAAACACAGAACCTTAAATCGTACCTTTATTGAGGTCCCAGAGGCGAATGGACCTGTCTCTGCACTCCGAGTCTGTGGATAAACACAGGGCTCCCGTGGGATCCAGTTTCAGTAAAGAAACCGGAGCGGTGTGACCGTACAAAGACCATCGACAATTACCTAAGGGTGTTAATGAGAGTTAAGGACCCCAAAAAACAATTCTGGTTACCTGTAATCAGGTCCCAAACGAGTATTCTGGCGTCCTCGAGACCGGATATGACACAGCCGCCTTGTGAGCTAATTTCTAAGGAAACCGTATTACAAGAAGGTTTCCATTTCTTAAATAATGTACCACTTTGCAAATCATACACAACAATGAAATTCGGATTGGGTTCGTCTATTTCGTGACAAACACAGCATACGTAACTGCCTGAAACCCAAAAACGAATTACCGCAAGCACTCAAGACCTCTTGGTAGTACCTTCGTAAGTGATGGCTGACAAGGAAGTTATAAAATCGTGGTGTGGTATTCTAAGATCGTACAGTAATTTTCGAGACTGTAAATTCCAAACGAGGAGAGGAAACGGTTTCTGGGTTTCATCGCCACACACAAGGACTCTGCAAAAGAAACCAGTTAGGTTAGAAAAAACAGAAAAGTGGGTGTGTTTGGATTGTGGATTTACCTCCCATCCCCCGAAACCAGCAGGGAATTGAGAAAGCGGTCCTCCCCAGCCTTGAATGTGGTAACACAGTCACCTGGAATCAGTTCAGTTGTGAAGGTCCGAAAAGATTAGAGTGGCACTCACCAGTCTCCAGGTTCATAAGATTGACATACATCCGGTTTCTACTAAGCGCTACCAAATGGCTTTGGTCATGAAGCCCGAAGTAAGGCATTTTCTGGTTCATGACGCCCTTCAGTTTGGTCACAAAAGTACCGGTGTTCAGGTCGTAAATCCGCAGCTCCCTTCTGCACAGTACGATGCATCTGAATTGGTCGATGGGTATCAGATTGGTCGGATGTGGAATCCCGTTCAGGATGCGCACTCGTTTGCACCTAAAATGGGTATCGGATGACTAACTAGGTGTGTTTTATGGTTGTTGACTCACTCTTTTACGTCCCAAACACAAATCTCCTCTTTGTTTGTGGAAACGCTGACGACGAACTGGTCAGTGTCCGGTAGTCTTATAACCAAGTCGAAGTTGCTCTCTTTGAAAGCTGGTCCGGATTCATCACTCTCTTTTTCTTCTTGAACGCTATTTAGGGGTATGAGTGATAAGACAGGTGGGCTCTTCGTTAAGCTGTACACTTGGACTAGGGTGGAATCGTTTGATTCTAAACTAATTTCTTTACGTCTAATTTTATCTTCTAAATATTTGTACAAGTGCGAATAAAACTGTCTACCATCGTAATTGAGGACGCTCGCGTGGGTTTCGATAAAATGTCTCAGCGTCAGCGTCAGTTCGTTCCTCACGCTGGGTTGCATGTTAATATCTTCCAGGATCTGGTAGCAGTTGGAGCCGCACACCTTGTCGTAAATCCACGTGATGTCCGAAATGTAAGGAGAGTTTTCAATTTCTCTCTTCAGCTGGTAATAGTGGAAGGGCAACTCGTCCAGCTTCCGCCTGTTATAACTAAAAAGCAAAACGGCAGCAGTCAGCCTCGGCAGATTAATGAACGGATGAAATACCCCGGATCTTTCATGTTTAAAAGAAAAAACAAAACCAAAAGTGAACCGAAAGCTTTATTTGGAAGTATGTACATGCAAATAAAATAAAGAGTACAATTAATCGTGTGGTGGTTGGTGAAAATTGTGTTAGGAAAGCATACATGCAAAGAGTACCGTACCATTTTCCCAAAATCGTCTCTTGGGATACCAGTCTAGCTAAGACGTTTGCAGGCTTACTGTTCCACCATTTGCCCTTGAAACAAAGTTACCGAATGTCGACGAGGAAGAGAAAGCACTTACTGTGTAATAATCGTAGATCATTTGGTTCGCCCATTTGGCGTGTTCTTTGTACCTCGCGGCAACCGCTTGTCTCAACATGTTGTCCCTCCACTGGACCCCCAGTACCCCTCCGGTCAAGGTCCATTGCAGAAACGGGGCGAGGTGTTTGTTCAACCGGGACCAAGTCAAGCAAGCCGGGGCCCAAGGTACTACAAACGAAACAATCAATACCGGTACCACTGGAACACTCACCGCACCATAAGTGGTGGTACTGTGAAAACTGTCATCAAACGCCAACAAATCGATCATTTCCGAGTCCGTAACGCCGTGTTTGGTGCTCGTAATTATTGCAAGGGCGTGCTGGACCTGAGTCACCCCCAAAATCTTCTCCAGCTCCTCCAGCATCAAGCTGAGCTGGTCGTTGACGTGTCCTTTAGGAACAATATCGTGTTCTTTGTCCGCCCACCACGACGTCTGCCACGCCAGAACTTTGGAGTACAGAGGCAGAGTACACTCCTGCACGGACTTCAGGACGCAGTCTTGTATTTTAGAATTAACGCTATGATTGTATTGCATGACACTGGACATGAGGATGCCTTTGGCTTCGGCTTCGCCCAACAGCGGCATCTTGATGAAACTGTTTTGATTGATTTTCTTGGCGATCTGCACGTAGAAATCGCTACCCTCTGATACAGAGAGTACAAATTTGATGTTCTCTGGTAGCTTTGTGGGAAGCCATTCAATCGATTTGGAACTGTAACCACGGACTTGATCTATACCGTCTAATATTATTATCAAGGGTCGCTGGAGACAACTAGCTGCTAACAAAGTTGGAAGGATTTTCTCATAAGTTGCGATGTTCTGCAAAAGTAGGATAGACTTGGGTTGGATTGACCGCTTCAACTTACATGAATACAGTAACATTTATGTCCGTACGTTAAAATAGAACACTGATTCGTTATTGAACTTAACAACTGCTCGATTGTGCTCGACTGGGCGCTAATTCCGATGAACCTAAAAATGAGGAAAGCTTCTGGTAGCCACTGTTGGCAACACTGGGCCACTCGTGCTAATAAAGTGGTTTTACCGCAGCCACCGGGACCGTATAATACTAAAGGAATTGGGCTATCTCCGTTTATGTACCTACAACGACAGGATGAGACCGTGTTGGGACTCGACGGGATTTTACGTTTTAATTTCGTTAATCGTTTTCTCCCTATTAATACTACATTGTGCAGCCTTTTGGCAAAAGCTCGTCTGTTGGTTGAGCTCCTCGAACAGCGGAGCTTCAATTCCGTAGCTCGGTTTTAGCATAGTTTTACCCTGGTGCTCGTCGATGATGGAATCAACCATCTCCAAGAGGTGCTTTTGGAGATGGGCGGTGACTTGAGCTATGTATTGCGCATGTTCGGGTATATCCATGTTTAACCCACCTTCCACGTACTTCACCGGAATCCTCACTATATGTTTTTCAGTTAACTGATTCTGAAACGAGAATCGTCGGACTAATTTTATCGCTTCCACAACAACTCTCTCACTCTGAGGTCTTTCTGCAACGTGTTGAGTCTCCTGTAGAGTTCAGTATCTCCGGGACTCAAATTATCTGGAGTTTTCGCCGTGGGAGTGTAAACACGGTTGATCCAAATACAACGTTTTGCCAGTTCTTGACTCATGAAGACCGTATTGTGCACTTCTTGCTCTACCACGGTTGTTAAATAAGTGTCCCTCAGCTCCTGCGAGAAGACGGTTATGAGCACGGCGAGCATCTTATCGATTTCGGTCCTCCACTCCTCGAAGGCTCTTTCGCGTTCCTCGGGCGAGGTTTCTTTGAATCCCGGGATGTGGTAGGAGATGGGTTGAAGTCGGTAGCAAGGGGGTTGAGCGTCGCTGTCTAACTGGTACCTATAACAAGAGTCAAACTTGATCGATCAACGTTTTTTACTTACCATTTGGAAAGCAGAGTTTGAGCGGACTGATTTTCGACACTCTCCATGGCCATTTTGAAGTCGGCGCTCTCAATGGTGATGGGCAGGAGCGGAGTCCCGAGGGAGTTATTCAGGAACAGTACAGGGATTATGTACGCGACTTCCATTTGTCCTGCAATAGAGAAGCCAAATTGGGAGTCAGTTGGTTCACGAAATTAGTTTTCCTTACTAGTGAGCTCCCCGATGCAAAGTTCTGGAAATTCGTGGTCTTGTTGCTTCTCCAGAAGGGTTTTCCAGTGGAGGTCGACAATGTGCAGTTCGTAGCCTTTGGACCTGCAGTGCGCTCGCAGTTCCGGGTAGACGCTGTTATGAAGAGCACCTTTTTCTACGTAACAATCTACAATTTCTGTTGTAATATACACAGATTCGGGTTTTTTGATTGTTGGTGTACCTTGCGAGTCTGCGGCACACACATAGATGACGATCTTCCTGGTCCTGGAAGCGGTCTTGGCCTGCGACACCCGCCCCATTATCAAATTCTGGAGGTGTTCAGACAGACTCGACACTTCTTTGGGGACGTGTCCATCGGATAGCTTATCGAATTCTTTGGGACTTTGCGTGCCGGGCGGTGAACTCAAAGACATGGAGTCGGCTACAAGTTAACGATCAATCTGTTATCGGTGTCTACTTTCGAAGAGGATTAGTTTTCGCATAAATAAGTGATGACCTTTAGCATTTTATCAGTGGGTGGAGAGGAGTCCGGGGTGAGATGTGGGTGTTAACATTTAAGCTCACCGGAAATGCTGGAAGCTGCGACTCCCTTTAGAACTTTCGAGATGTTCGGTTTTCTTTCGGAGACACTGAGTGTCGACGGCGCTGTGGGCGGAGGGGCCGAGGGGGCTTGCAGAGGGGGCTGTCCTGCGGTACTGGGCTCCAGGATCACTCCGGAGTGGGGTGTTATGTGGTTGAGAAGAGTCTGCTGCTTTTCGGATGGGAGGCTCGATCGGACTTGATAACTGCCAGACCTGAGTAATTATAATTATTTTCTTTGACAGGAATGGGTGAGGGGTGAAAATTGTATTCAAGGGTTTTTAGAAGAGTTACTATTTTAGTGATTATTGTCGGGGTAAAAAATTCAAACACAATCCTTTTCTCCTGAAGGGAGTTAAGAAATTACGTATGTGGAAAAATCGTACACAATGCGAAAGTGAGTCTTTAGGTTGAACTGAAAGAGAAAGTAGTTTGTTCTAAAAGCATGTTTACTTTGTTAAAGCAGAACAACTCTCTGGATATTCTTGACAGCTGTTCACTAACATGTGTATCTGAAAACCCACAAGATGCGGAGAGTTGGAGTTAAATCATTATTTAAAGGGACTGGCTGGAAGAGAAATAGCAATTTTTTATTTTTTATCGAGACCGTAGGCCCACTCTCTACTTTACGTTTTCTCAAGCTTTCATGACCTCTAGAGTACGAAGAAATAGGTCTCCTGTTTCAGTCAGTCTGTCTGTCTGTCCGTCTGCCGTCCCGATTTTTATTAAACAGATAATCTCCGAAAGTACTGAACCGATTGTTGTTGTCAAATTTTTTATTTATATTAAGAATACCATGTAAACGGTAAAACGCTAACCAAAATTTCTCTAATCATCCCCACCAATAATGTAATGGAAAAAAATCAAAATTATAAAACAACATTTTACAATTTAATTTTTAATCTATGAAACCGAATGGTTTGAAATCTTGCAAATGTTTTAAAGTTATGATAAATTTTTAATCAAAATATATTTGCTTATCCCCTCCAAAATTTGATGACGTCAATTCCAAATTTTGCTAAATAAATCCTATCTAAAATGTCAAAAATTTGATGAGTTTCACTTATACATTATCACTCCATTCACATTTTTGGATTTGTTTATACAGGATGACTCAAAAAAATTAATGAATAAGTCAGTTTATTTTATTGATTAAATCAGGAACGGTTCACTCTATTTTCCCAGGAAATTTTGAAAATACAATACTGTTATTTTTAGTATTACAGTGCACCAATTCAAGTTGATATACGTGTCCTTGCCAAAAAAAATATTGATGACCTTAGCAAGCACTAACCCCGCCCACCCACCCACGTTCTTTATATTCTAAGGACTAATTTTACCTCTGTTCAGTATGGGACCCACTTTCTACCAGACCAGATAAAATGAATCACTGAAGTAGAGGCGAGATGGGTGGGCGGGGTTAAATATATGTTTTTCTGCAGAGTGACAGTGGGGCTGTTAAAAAAGGAGAAAAAAGGCCAACCGTGTTTTTTTTGTTTTACTATTTACTTTAAGATTTATTGTTGATTTTAGAAGAAAAAAGAGACAACGGATGGGTGGGCGGGGTTAAGTTTGACTTTTTCCTATCGAGCTTTTTATAAGCAAGCAATAGCCCCGACCATTCGCCCCTCCTCTCCATTCTAGTGACTACTCCTAATATGGTTCAGTTTTATCTTAGGAAATACTAGCCCCGCCCACCCACCTGTTATTTTCTTAGAGAGTATCTCATCTGCCAAAATCTGTCTTATCTTAGCAGAGGCTAGTACCGCCCACCCGCCCTCCATTTTCTTGGAGGGTATGTCATTTATCAAACTTAGTCGTATCTTAGCAAGTACCAGCCCTAGCCACCCGCCCGCCCTCTGTTTTCTTACAGGATACATTATTTGCCAAAATCAGTCTTATCTTAGCAAGTACTAACCCCGCCCACCCACCCATGTTCTTCTTTTTCTAAGGACTAGTTTTATCTCTGTTCGTTATGGGATCCACTTTCTAGCAGACCAGATAAAATGAATCACTGAAATGGAGGTGGGGTGGGTGGGCGGGGTTAGTTATATATTCTTCTGTAGAATAACAGTGAAGCTGTTAAAAAAGGAGAAAAGAAATTTTTTTTGCTATACTATGTACTTTAAGATTTATTTCTAATTTTAGAAAAAAAAAAAGAGAGAACGGGTGGGTGGGCGGGGCTAAGTTTGACTTTTTCCTGCAGAGTTTTTTATAAGCAGGCAATAGCCCCGATCATCCGGGCCTCCTCTCCATTCTAGTGACTATTCTTAATATGGTTCAGTTTTATCTTAGGAATACTAGCCCCGCCCACCCACCCGTTATTTTCTTAGAGAGTATCTCATCTGCCAAAATCTGTCTTATTATAGCAGAGGCTAGTCCCGCCCACCCGCCCTCCATTTTCTTGAAGGGCATGTCATTTACCAAACTCAGTCTTATCTTAGCAAGTACCAGCCCCGCCCACCCACCCGCCCTCTCTTTTCTTACAGGATACATTATTTGCCAAAATCAGTCTTATCTTAGCAAGTACTAACAACGTTCTTCTTTTTCTAAGGACTAGTTTTACCTTTGTTCGTTATGGGATCCACTTTCTAGTAGACTAAATAAAATAAATCACTGAAATGTAAGTGGGATGGGTGGGCGTGGTTAGTAATATGTTCTTCTGTAGAATAACAGTGGGGCTGTTAAAAAGGAGAAAACACACGGATTTTATTTGCTATACTATTTACTGTAAGATTTATTTCTAATTTTAGAAAAAAAATCAGTGAACGGGTGGGTGGGCGGGGCTAAGTTTGATTTTTTCCTGTAGAGTTTTTTTTAAGCAGGCAATAGCCCCGATCATCCGGGCCTCCTCTCCATTCTAGTGACTATTCTTAATATGGTTCAGTTTCATCTTAGAAAGTACTTGCCCCGCCCATCCACCCTCTATTGCGAGAGAAGTTCTGTCGAAACAACTGTCGACCAATGTTTTCCTCAATATACGTATCTGTTCGCAGCAAGAAGCTTGAAACATCTTGAAAATGGAAAATTTTTCTAAAGAAAAGTGGAATTTGTAATTAAGCTCCGCCCTTTGAAGTGACAATGAATGAAAAATTCATCACAATTGAGATAGGGGCGGGTGGGCGGGGTTAAATCATTGACTTCTTTTTCTTAAAGTATAGAGTTTACTGTCATCAACATAATACTTACAACATAATTTTAACCTCGAATTCACCATCTGATATTTGAAGTTTTTTATTATTGAAATAGATAAGCCCCGCCCACCCGCCCCATCCCAATTCTGATGAATTTTTTTATTGGTCGTGAGACCGAGGGGTGGAGCTTAACCGCAAAGTCCATATTTCTGTACAAGAAATTACGGAGTGAAATATGTTTGAAACATTATTCGTATTGTTTTGAGAAAAAATAGGGAACGAAAACGAGAAAAAATTTTACAAAAATAAAACTTTCGACAATTTTTCTAAAATAGTAGCGCCGATAAACAGATTAAGCAAGAAAAATGTGTAATTTAGTTGGAACGTGGAACGTTAAAACTCTTTTGAAACATTGAAAAATGCTTTAGTAAAACCACTAATTTTACAGTATCCCAGTTTTGCAGAAAATAACAGTTTTATTTTAAAAACTGACGCTTCTTCCAATGCATTAGGAGCCGTATTCATTTCTGTAAGTCGGGTTTAGTATCATTTGAGAAATATATCATTTATATTTGTTTTTCATGAGACTAAAATGTAAAAAGAAATCGCTTAGAATGCGAGCGCAGCGAGCACGTGTAGGTGTTATTAAAAATAATTCACCGTTGTCCCCGAGAAGCTAAATTAGAACAAAAAATTTAATTATCGCGTACAAAAAAGTGTATCTCGAAAACAATTGTGATTATTAATGATGCGAAGACCTGAATGGTGCTCACTGCGCTCGTATTCTAAATGTGAGTTTCCGAAAATCTACAAAATTATTATTATAAATGATCCCAAACAATTTCGCTAAAACACTTTCTTGAATATTTCTGAAACCAAACTTTAAAGAAAGAGCTTTTAGAAGACGAGCGCAGCGAGCACATTCAGGTTTTATTAAAAAAATTGGTCCAAATTTATAAAATTTTCAGAAAAATGTCATTTTTTGGGAGGCGGTAAACGGATAAATTTTGATTAACGATTTACCGTGCATTCGGTTTCAGTTTCAAAATTAAATTGCGAAATTTTGTCATATGTTTTTGATTTTTTTTTTTTTAATTTGGATGTTTCGGGTGGAAAATCAATACCGATTCATAAACTACACGTAAGAGTATGCTATTTTATAAAATTTAAAGCACATTTACTGTGTACAATTTTGCAGTGATGTCATCACATTGTTAGAAGGATGATTGCATAGGCACAGACGGCGATCAGACGGACAGACAGTCAGACAGACGGACAGACGGAAACGGAAGACCTATTTTTTCGTACTCTAAGGGTTATAACAAGTCGAGAAAACATGAGGGTGTGTGTAGTCATTCGTGCGAATCTTCACGAAAAAAAATTATAAAGGTAATCTGAGGAAATAAAATAACTAGTAACAAAAGTGAAAATAAATCACTGAAACAGAAGACCACTAGCCTGTGTCAACCTTTTTGTTTTCAGTATATCTAGCTTGAAAATTACTTTAGAAAAATATTGTATCACAACCGTCGGAAACGTGAAACCTGCATTTTCCCATTTGACAGGTCGTGAAATGCCAACACAACATGAAACCGGATAATGTCAAACTAACCCGAATACAATACTTTCATTAGCTATCGCTCCAGAAACAAAAATAGATCAAACGAGAAACGAAATTAGGCACAAACGACGCCCAAAACGCAGTTTGTCAACACCTCCATCATTAATGGCTAAAACATGGTAATATTTAATTTGGAACGATTTTCGGTGAGGTGGCCAATAAATCTACCATGCATGCACGCGAAATAAAAAATCGAAGAGTTTCCAGCGCTATATACTCAATATTGAATGCCAGCACGGTTCGAAACTCGGTGCATCTAATATGCATGGCCGTTCCGTCCGGCGGCAAATCGGCTTAATACCAATTTATTAATTAACCCCATTTGTTTACCGAGATAATATTTATCTTTATAACTAACAACATTTGCGTCATAGAACCCAACAGCTTCAAAATCAATCCACTTAAGCAAACAGATGGATATTGAAGTGTATTGTTTGGTATTGCTGCCTTTGTCAATTGA